GTTTTGTCCCACTGGATTTTTCTAGCAAGGTTTTAAAAATGCAGCATTTATTTTTAGTACCCCACAATAACTGTACTATTTTTCCTTCGTTTGATTTATTTCCCATTGATTTTTATCAAATAAGGTTTTAACGAGACAAATATTTTATAATGTGTCATTTAAGAGGAAGTGTTGTAAAAGGTAAGTTAATAGGGTTTAGAGGTGAATGACAATTATAATCCTGTAGCACTAAAAATTATTATTGTTGTATCCCATATTCTATCCTATAAATACAGGGCTTTGATTCTTAATAAAACACACACAAGTCTATTGATTTCTCTCCATTCTCTTTTTTTTTTCACTTTTATAACATATATATATTAAACTAACATGTAGTTAACAATATATCAACTAAAAATCTATTTTTGAGCAAAAAAATAATTTTTAACTAAAATATATTAAAAATTAATTTATAAGTGAAAGTACACTTTTGTGTAAAAATTGGTAAAATTAAAAAATACTGCTAGCAAGGCAAAAATTCACTTATAAAATATAAAAAGTTAAAAATTTACTAATGTATAAAAAATTATTTAAAATTAAAACCCAAGATTTTAATTATAAGTAAGTATTTCACTAGGAATGTCAAAAAGGCTCGGTGGCTTCGACGGCTTGTGACTCGTAGAAACTGAGCCTCAAAATAAGAGGTCGACCCGAGCCTGAGCAAGCCCGTGTGGCTTGCCAAGCCACACGGGCTGGTTCGTGTCACGGGCCATTTTTAGCCTGTGACAATAATGCTCGGCTCGAGCTAAATTAAAGAGCAAAAAAAAAAAAAAAAAAAAAAAATCGGAATTGTAACTATCATTTAAAATAGCAGTAGGTGTGACCTGCTGCCGGCAGCTATAGCTGCATTTTTTACGTGGTGTAGTCGTGACCTCATATAGATTTTGAAATTCAAATTTGAAAAATAACGCGGGTTTTTTGTCTATAAATACGGGGTGATTTTTGAAGTTTTAAATAACTTTGTTATCGATTTTAATTCGCATTATTTCTATATTATAGATTCAGATTCAATCATTCAAGTTTCAATTTCTTCTTTTTCACTTCTCATATAACAATTAATATATTCAATTTCTTTCACTCTAATATTCAGTATTTTTTATTATACTAGTTATTATGGATTTTACAAGAGATGAAGTTAATAAGTTTGACGGTAGCTCGAGTACTCCATCTAACTACGATGCATGTCAAAATGTTCCAATTAATTTGGAGGATATTGAAGAGGAAGAAGTTCAAGTACTCGAGACAAAAATGTCAAAAAAAGAATTATCAGATTGTTGGCCACATATGACACGAAAAAAAATTGGTGTTCAAAATGGAGTAGATATTTGGAAAGTATGTTGCAATTACTGTGGCAAAGAATTTAGTTGGAAGCCCGGTTCGAGCACAACGCATTTGATTAGACATGTATTAAGGAGTTGCAAAGCGAAACCAGCCGATCTTAACTCGAAACAGACCGAACTAGTGTTTGATGGTTTTAATTCTACTCTTTCCACCTTTGTATATTCACAGGAAAGATTTCGTGAAGGAATGGATGCATACTTGGCTGCAGCAGAGATATCGCTTACGATAATAGACTCAATACACTTTACTCGACTCGTGCAGAAATATCTTCAATCCAGGTATTTTTCTTATTCTAGAAACACTCTTCGTTCGGATAACATAAAATTATATAACAGAAGAAAACAAGTTACTATTAAAGGTCTAAAAAGTTTTAATAGTGTTATATCGTTTACTTCTGATTTATGGACCGGTTGTAATAGAAAATGTTATATTGCTGTTACGGCTCATTATATTGATCACCTGTGGCTTCTACATAAAAGAATTATTGCATTCAGATGTGTAGAATATCCTCATAATGCCACTACCATATACATGATTTTAAAAGATATCATACAGGAATATGGTATACAAGATATGGTTCGAAGTTTTACTTTTGATAATACTGCAGTGAACAAAGTTGTTATTGAAAGATTTATTGTTGATCTTAATCTCGTATTTGGAAATTTATTTTTTCATCAACGTTGTGTATGTCATATTATTAATTTGATTGTAAAAGTTGGATTAGAACATATAAGTTCACCTTTAGATAAAATTAGACAAGCAATAAATTTTATTACTATGTCACCAGCAAGAAAACAAGCATTTAATAATTTGTGTGCAGAATATGAATTATAGGCGAAATCATTTGCCACTGATGTAACGCATATGTGGAACTCTACATATCTTATGTTACATTCGTGTGAAAATTACAATAAAATAATTTCACTATATTATAATGGTAGGCATACACTCGGACCCGAACATAATTTGGAAGATTGGGAATGGACTATTGCAGTTTACGTGAAAAAATTCTTACAACATTTTTTCGATGCTACAAAGGAATGTAGCGGTGTTTACTACCCTACATCTTCTCTTGTTTTATGACACTTTTTTTATATTTCACAAGCATTTCATAAATATAGAAATTTACCACTTTTTGCTGATGTAGTCCGCTCTATGGAGTTAAAAATTTGTAAATATTGGGAAGAGTTACTTTCTTTATTTCTTTTAATTTCAATAATGAACCAAATTTAACTGGCACAAAAGCTACTGTAAAGGGGATATCAGATTATTTGAATATAGAATTATCACATGTGAATATAGAATCTTTTTTATGTGAAATGTATAATTATTATGCTGAAAAGGTTGGTCAGGGTAGTTCTACTTCCTAAGGTTCTTTTTCAAGAAATATTTCAACAAATTTCAAAAATTTATGAAATTATTTAGATATCAATACAAGTGTTCCTTCATTTAGTTCTAGTTCTAGTTCATCAACATCTAGAGTGATCAATATTGGTGGTACAAATTTTGAAATTCCTTCTAAGTTAGCTAGGTATATGTGTGTGGATGTTCGTAGTGTGTTGCAACCAAACGAATTACAAGAATTTAGTCTTTTAAATTGGTGGAGGTGTAACGAAAGGCAATATCCAATTATATCAAAAATTGCACGTGATCTACTAACACATCCAGTGTCTACGGTAGCATCGGAGGCTATATTCAGTTTAGGTGGTTGAATTTTATCAGATGAACGATCAAAACTAAAAGAAGATATATTGGAGGCTTTGATATGTTTGAAGGATTAGGAATGTGCGGAATTACGTGTTCAAGAATATGTTGACAGTATAATGGCCGAAGAGTTACAACATATCCAAACATAGGATGTTGTAAGTTTTTAAATTAATTATTTTTCTTTAAGAAATGCATTTTTTAAATTTATTTGATTCAAAAAAAATTGTACACGAAATATTTTATTCGTGTACAATTTTAACTTCGCCTATATTGATTGTAGCCAATCCCAAGCCCAGAAAAAGGAGGAGGGTTGTAATTTGTATCTTTTATTTAATTTGTTATTCGTATAAATTACATAATTTTGTAAGTTGTAATTTTATTTAATTTGTAATTTGTATAAATAATAAATGATGCAATTTTTAAATTCTTTAAAAAAAATGTGAAAAAGATGTCATTAAACAATTTCTTTGCCTTCTACATTTAATAAATTGCACTACAACAATTGGCATGTGAAAAAAATGTCATTAAAAATTGGCAAAAAAAATTAAAAAATCGAGCCGGCCCCGCTCGGCTCAGATCGGCTCGTAAACCGTATTTTTTTGGCCGAGTCTATGATTTACTCTAGCCGAACCCGAGTCGAAAATTTCGACTGCGAGCCGGCTCGACTCGTTTACATCCCTATATTTCACTTTTAAGTTAAAAATTAACTTTTTTGTAATAAAAATTACTTAATAGGTAAAAAATATTATATAAGAAATTAAAAAATTATTAAAGAGCACATATATAATTTTATTTTTTTAAAAACTTCCAGAGTTGCAAAAACTATCAAGCATGTGTTTGACTATTTTAAAAATCAAAATTATGAGAGTGTTTGAAATCCATTTTAATGTAAAAATGCATTTTAGAATAGTAAAATGATGGAAAATGTGTGATTAAAAAATAAAATTTTTTTTTTGATTTATGTGTAATATTATTTTAATAAAAAATGTGTGATTGAAAAGAATAAAGAGAAAAATACATTTTAAGAAAAATAAGTATCAAAGGGGACTTAAAAATGACCCAAAATTGAATCCATCATACACTCCCAAAATTTGTACTTTAAAAAACACCATAACCAATAATCCAAAACTCCCAAGCAGGCCTAAAGCAATCGTTGCCGATTCATAAACAATCGTTATAAAGATGTTGGGTACATTAAGCCCCTGTTTGTTTCCCATTTTTTTCATTAAAATGAAAAATATAATCGTTATCCATCACATCAAACCATCAAATTTGAATTTCTATATCTAGTGTGGGACCCATAACGACTATATTTTTCATTCTCATTTTTACATTAATGTGTATCAAATGGGGCCTAAGGGGTTGTTTGAGCCCCATTTTCTCAAAAAAATGCATTTTGAATAATGTTATGATGAAGAATGTGTGGTTAAAAAATAAAGAAAAATTTTGGATTTACGTGTACTATTATTTATTGAAAAATGTGTGATTGAATAATGTCAAATCACTGTTGAAAAATATATTTTGAACAAAAAAATGAGGCTCAAACAAGGGCTAAATTAAGTAAAGAAAAAATAATTAAAACCACTACGTTGGTGCACCGAGCATGATACTTTAAGACTTAAGTGCTTGTTTGTCCTACAATGTTGGTCACGATCAAATAGTAAAATTAAGAATATTTTATTTTATTTTTTTATACTAATAAGAAAATTTCTAAGAAACTCTTTAGCCTATGTTTGGCTACCTATTTTTTTTTTCAAAATACATTTTTAACTACACATTTTCAATAAGTAATATTACATAAAAAATTTTAAAAAAAATTCATTATTTTATAATCATATATTTTCCAATAAAATTTCATTTCAAAATAGATTTTAGCCGGAAATTGCATTTGGGGTTGCGGCGTGGGGCGAGGGGGGGGGGGTATTATTTATTTATTTATTGCTGCGGTATAGTACTTTATGGGGTCGCGGAGAGCCTGGGTAGTGTAGCCATGTGCATGGAAACAGCTTTTGTCATCATTTCTTTTGGAAAATATGTAAGAATAGGACAAGCCGTTCGCTACAGAGCACAGAGGTTTTACATCCAATAGTCCAAAAAGCAAAAAACTGTACTGATACCGGGGCATCTCCGTGATTAAACCAAAATCTGAGGCCATTTTCAAAAATTGACATGCATAAAATATCAAACCCCAAATTCAAAAACCCACATCCAAAATGCAGAGAGAATCAAGAATTGGGGGACTCACTGTATTGACGGTGCTATTGTGTGTTGCCACGTGGCACATTGCCTTTGCCTTCATAGACGGTATGCTTCTTCTTCTTGGCTATGATTTTTGCTTCCAGTTTTGGTGTTTTTGAGCCTCTTGTGTTCATCCCATTTTAAGTGTTCTCAATTTTTTGTTTAGATGTCTTGATAATATATTAACTATTATTTCTTTAGAGTACAAAATTTTCTTGGATTAAGGGATATAGCCTTGTTTAAGTGTGTTTGAAGCTTAATCGTACCGTATACTTATCTATTGATTTTGACGATACGAGAAAAACTCTCTTCACTTCACATGAACATAGCTTTCACCTTGAGGGTTAACCGCCGTCAATGTACATGTTATTGATGTCATAAGAAGGTTTTAATGGCTTAACTACAGAAACTAGGTTCAACTTGGAGATAAAATCATGTAATAATGTGCTCTGATATAATTAGGTACGAGATATAAATGTTGTTTAACGTTGTTGTGAATGGTTATAAGGATAAAGGGTGTGTGGAATTTTCTTTGTACACGTTGAAGACTAAGTTTAAATAAATGAACATGTCCCGTTTCTAATAATTTAAGCTTTCGGATGTTCCACAAAGTAGTTATGATCGAGCAAATCTGCAGATGGTTCTTTTTATTTTTATTTTTGTGGCGTTAATTTGGTGTATTACTTACTTTTGGAGGTTTCTTGATTGATCATGGAATACTTTTAATTTGAAGTTCTCAAATTTTCACGTTCTAAATGCAGGACCATTAGAAAATGGCAATTTCGAGCAGGCTCCGAAATCGTCAGACATGAAAGGCACGGTTGTCCTTAAACCCCACGCCATACCAAAATGGGAAATCTCCGGTTTTGTTGAATACATAAAAGCAGGGCAAAAACAGGGCGACATGCTATTAGTTGTTCCTGAGGGATATGCTGCTGTTAGGCTTGGAAATGAGGCATCAATCAAGCAACGGTTAAACGTGACTAAAGGAATGTACTATTCGTTAACATTTAGCGCTGCCAGAACCTGTGCTCAAGAGGAGATTCTTAATGTATCCGTGGCACCGGATTCTGGGGTGCTACCGATTCAAACAGTGTATAGTAGCAACGGTTGGGACTCGTATGCATGGGCATTTCGAGCAATCTATAGTGTGGTCGAGATCCTGCTTCATAATCCAGGAGTAGAAGAAGATCCGGCATGTGGTCCACTAATCGATTCCATTGCCATTCGAGCTTTGTACCCTCCTAAAGCTACTAATCGTAAGTTTCGTCGCAGCCCTCTGTTAAATTTCATGCCTTTTATCAAACTTTTATGCTGAGGTGATGTATTCTTCGACGGAAATCCTAAATTGTTGCACCATGCCCTCTTTGAGCAGAGAACCTGGTGAAAAATGGAGACTTTGAAGAGGGTGCTTATATATTTCCCAACACGAGTTGGGGAGTCCTTATCCCACCCAACATCGAGGACGATAACTCTCCATTGCCAGCCTGGATGGTTGAATCCCTCAAAGCTGTCAAATACATCGATTCTGATCATTTTTCAGTACCACATGGCAAGCGTGCCATTGAACTTGTCGGAGGAAAGGAAAGTGCCATTGCACAAGTAGTAAGAACCATCGTAGGCAAAACTTACCGACTCACATTTGCCGTGGGCGATGCTAGCAATTTTTGCAAGGGATCAATGATAGTCGAGGCATTTGCTGGAGGACGGGACACTGTCAAGGTTCCTTATGAATCCAAGGGTACGGGTGGCTATAAACTCGCTGGGCTGAGGTTCGTGGCGGTTTCTATTAGGACAAGAATCATGTTCCTTAGCACGTACTACCATATGAGAAGCGATGACTTAGCTTCGCTCTGTGGCCCGGTGGTCGACGATGTGAAGCTGTTGAGTGTTCGTAACCCCAAACGACTCGTCTAATGAGACAGGATTAAAAGCTTTTGTCGTACTATGAATACCATTGTTGTAAGGATTTTGAGTAACAAGACTTACATATCATTTCAGTTTGAATAGGCTCTTGTTTGAGCCCCATTTTTTTTTTTTAAGAATGGATTTTTGAATGGTGTATTGATGGGAAATGTGTGATTAAAAAATAAGAAAAAATTTTGAATTTGTAAGTAATATTATTTTATTGAAAAATGTATTGTTGAAATGATATCAAAATACTATTGAAAAATATATTTTTTCAAAAAAATGGAGCTCAAACAAAGGCTAAAGGGCCGTTTGGTATTCATTTTTTTTAAAATGTATTCTTTTCTCTTCTTTCAATAATAACACATTCTTTATTAAAATAATATTACACGTAAATCAAAAAATTTTCCTTATTTTTACTAAGCCCCTGTTTGATTCCCATTACGTAGAAAAATTAATGGAGGAAATAGTGCTTTTTTGAAAAATAAGTGGTTGAAAAAAAATAAAAAATTTTTAATTTATGTGTAATATTATTTTATGGAAAATTGTGTGGTTGAAAAGAGGAAAGAAAAATGAAATATAATAAAATTTAATGTAACGGGACTCAAACTGGAGTTAATAATGTAGCTGGTGGATATTTTTTTTTTTATAAGATTATTTTAATGCTGTCCCTTTCGTGTCTCTGTAAGTTAAGGCTTTTTCTGCCAATAATAAGGCAGGTCATAATGTTGCATTCAATTGATGTTCTTGAAAAAGTCCTACTCTAAATTCTGTTCACAATAGTTGTGACCAATGGGCCCATCGGCCGATAGACGAAGAAATAAAAAACAAGTTTGATGCAGAATCAAGTGGAATTTCTCATTTGTAAAGAATGATCCTTTACAAACCCATTACAGATACTCACATGGAGGTAAGTTTCATATGAATAAAATATTGTCAAAAAGACCCCATTGTGTGTATTATGTAAGTCTTCTACTTCTATAAGCTTTACTTCTATACAAGAAGCGCGACTCTCCTCATCATATTATTGTGTGACAATGATACTAAGCAAGGTTTTAACATTTTTCGAGTAATGTTTAGTATGATTTAATCTTCAATCAATAATTTACCTTTGAACTGAAGTACTAAACAATATAGCTCCTATTTGACAACCATTTTTTCTTTTGTAAAGAACGAGTTTTTCAATAATAATTTTTTTTAAGAGTATGTATAAATAAAAACTAAAAAAAGGTTTTGAGTTTAAGTAAAGAATATTTTACTGTAAGAATGCATAATAAATAAGGCAAAATATTCAAAGCCGTTTTAAAATTCAAGTTTCAGCAAGTTTGTTTGCATTGTTGTCCAGTTAATACACAAGCTAATGTCAAGATGTGTTCACATAAGAAAATCTATTTTTGACATGTAAAAACATGACAAAATCGTTATTGATGACTAGACAAAAATTAAATTCAAATTTTATTGATGAATTTTATACAAATATAGAGCATGTTTGGAAGTGATTTTGAGAATTAATTTTTTGATCGTTAGGGAAAAAGTGGGGTCCACCTGTGAAAGAAGAAGTAAAAAATGATGTCTTGAATAGTGAAATAACGATCAAAAATCAATTTTTTGAGGGAAAAATCACTCCCAAACATGCTGATATTTTGTAGAAATACAATACTAGCAGGCTTTCTTGGGAGTACTAATTTCTTGATTTAAATTTGGGCCAAAATGGGCCCTAATAGTAATGATTGGGCCTAAGTATGGCCCAAAATGCTTTTTCTGAAACTTTTGAAATTCAAAATCAAAGGTCACGTGACGCCGCTCCCGATATTGATCCAACGGTTCTTATAATCGCGTCATCTTAAAGCTAAAGGTCAATTCAAAATCTTTCAAATCGTACACACATTGATTCACATGACAAAAACACGCTTCGTTTTACATAAATCTAACCTCTCTCTCTCCAGCCTACATCGAATTTTCTCTCTCAAAACGGCAGTAACAATAGAATGGTAAGGCATTTGTGTTACTGATTTGATTTATGTTTTTGGGTGTTATGTTAATTTGACTTCGATTAGGTGAGATTTAGCTTCTTCTCTTTTATTTGGGTTTTTAGGCATTGCCGAATCAGCAAACAGTGGATTACCCAAGCTTCAAGCTTGTAATTGTCGGCGATGGTGGCACTGGTAATTTTTCTTTTATACATTGTTTTTTCCTGTTAGTTTAGTTTCAATTATTTTGCACATTCGTTCGCACTCTTTATTTTGAATGTACCTTACCAAAATTATCAATTTTTGGGTATCTTCAATTGAAATTATTCTGCTTTATTTGTTAGCAGACGTTTAATCTTTTATTTTATTTTTTAAAATTTTGTTTTCGCTGATTGTCTTTAGCCAAATCTCGATTTTGAGATTAGGATTTAGGATTCATTATAAGCGACTGACTGTCTCTGTATTACGTGTTGATATTAATTCATATTGACCATAGGTACAGAACTCTGTTTCGGTACATGCAGTTATCTATGTTTGAACCTGTTGAAACCCTAATGTTATACCTTATATTTATTTTATGTTATGAAATGTCAAACGAGCAAAAATTCATAGATTTGGTTGTACACATGCCCAGAAAAAGTAAACTAAGGAGTGAATCAGTGCTATATTTTATTTCATGTTGTGTCTATAATGGAGCTTTTTGTGCTATTACAGGGAAAACAACATTTGTGAAGAGGCATCTCACTGGTGAATTTGAGAAGAAATATGAGCGTAAGCCTGCTTGATAAGTTTTGATTCAATGCTAATTTTGTGAGATATTTTTCGTTTAATTAATAAATAATTTTGATATGGGTATAGCAACCATTGGTGTGGAAGTTCACCCCTTGGATTTCTTCACAAACTGTGGGAAGATCAGGTTTTATTGCTGGGACACAGCTGGTCAGGAGAAATTTGGTGGCCTTAGGGATGGATACTAGTAAGTAACCTTTTCCTACTATGTGATTAAACTCTTAGCTTCATATAATTATCATTTAGTTTGCATGCTTTTTGAATTTATCAAAGAATGAACTGTGAAAAGACTTTTCTTCCTCTTGGACAGTGTTTTCACATTTTATACTGGACTTCGTCAAATCTAGTTTATGCTTGCATTGGCAGGTTTTATTGCATATTAGTCTGTTAATTTTGAAATGCATTCATGTTATCTGGAGTTGATTGCTGCAATAATAATCTGCTTCCATAATATGTGTAAGAGCAAGTCCCCATATTGGTAATTGATTGAAAAAGAAAACGTGTCTGTACTTGTGTTAAGAGTCACTCCAGTCATCGATCAATTGAATATGCATCGTGAGAATTCATTTACTTTATTGGTGCACTTTTTAGGGGGTTTTAGATGTGGAGAATTCGTTTCACAGTTTGGACTTTATCCTCCTCCATTGTCAGGGTAAAGCTCCATAAAGTTTTGGGTGGTTTTTTTTATAGTCTCTGTAGCTGAATGCTTATTAGAGCCAATTGAAATCAACAACATGCTCTATAGAAACAACCTTCAAATCCTTTGTTGATGGGATGGTTGAGTGATGTGTCATTTTTTATGTTTATCATATCTTATCCCCCCAGGTTTCCTTTTGTGTTACATATAGATCTCCATTAATCAATCATCAATACTGACGTCTTACATTTGCAGTATCCACGGACAGTGTGCAATAATCATGTTCGATGTAACAGCACGGTTGACTTACAAGAATGTTCCGACATGGCACCGTGATCTTTGCCGGTGTGTGACTCTTAGTTATTTATCTATCTGTTTGGTTTGATTGATTTTTGCATGAGATTAACGTGGTATTGAATCTTTTTTACCTTCAACTTCAGTGTTTGCGAGAACATCCCAATTGTGCTTTGTGGGAACAAGGTCGATGTTAAGAACCGACAGGTGAAGGCAAAACAAGTTACCTTCCACCGCAAAAAGAATTTGCAGTACTATGAAATATCCGCAAAGAGTAACTACAACTTTGAGAAGCCCTTTCTGTACCTTGCCAGGAAACTTGCTGGGTAATTAACTTCATTTATCGAGGATCAAAATATGTGAAGGCATGATTTTCCATTTAATTTGCTCAAGGCAAAGTTTTTTGTGGTTATAGGGATCAAAACTTACACTTTGTGGAATCTCCTGCACTTGCTCCTCCTGAAGTGCAAATTGACTTGGCTGCACAGCAACAGTAAGCGCACACCCTCCCTCTCTCATCGTGAGTTTCAAGCTTCCTCACATAAATATTTACTGAAATGTGGTGAATTTTGCAGGCATGAAGCAGAGCTTGCTGCGGCTGCCAGTCAACCATTGCCTGATGATGATGACGATGCCTTTGAGTAAACTCAGTAAAGCTTATAATTAGAAGGATCTCTAAGTGGCGCATTCCTTCTATGTTGGTGCCCCAACCTTTTCTCTTGTTATTTTGGGATGATCAGGCTTTTATATCGGGGATTCAAGTTCTAATGTAGGGGTTTTGCAGCAAAGATCAATCGTGGCTTTTGATTTGCTTGTGTGAAGATAACTTATCATTCATCTTCGTATTCCAGATTCGACTTTAGTTCATATGAACTAGTTAATTTTACATGGCTAAAGTTTGCTTTCTGCTTTTGACCGGAATTTGGAACTTATAAGCTTTATCGTGAAAAATATATTCTTTGAAAACATTAATGACAATGTACACTAAATTTCACTGAACTTAACTTTTGCCTGTGTAAAAACAAGTGTCCATAAAGCAATAATCTGGAGGCCTAATTCATCACCTACATACCCAGATGTCCGTGGGCCAGAAATGTTCATTGCATTTTTTATTAATATAAAGAAAAGAATCTCAAAATCGCATTGGCAATAATTGCAAAAAAAATAAAACGTTTAGTATATTTCCGAGAAAATACAAAAGATAGAGCACAAACGAACTCCGCGATCAACTAGATATCAATGCACATCAAATTATACAGAAATCTCACTTGAGAATACAAGGCTCCTCACAAACAGGCCTGGTAGAGCAGCCTTTCTCATCTCTTTAATATGGCCCTATTTGAGTTTCATTATTTCCTCATTAAAATGAAAAATATGACCGTTATTCATTACATCAAGACATCTTGACTTTTTATCTTTTGTGTGGGGTTCATAACGACTATATTTTTCATTCTCATTTTTACAATATTGTGACTCAAACGGGAGCTATATTTCTTATGTGCTTGATTGCCTCTACTTCTCCACTCCAGAATTGTCTCCTTGGAGGAGGGTCAGCAATGAATCTAGTCCAACTTTTTAATTATATTTTCTCCATTGAGTTGCTTCTTGGAGGAAATCTCATGCCAACCAAGTCAAAAGAGCTCCACAAGCACCATAGAAATGCAGGTGAACAGCCAGCCTGCAGTGGTGTCAAAACAATTTATTTCAATATGATCACAAGGAATGTGCCAATTATCAAGAAGATCATATCATGATAAGTTCTGGGTACTCTTCAGTTCCAATAACAAAAACTCCTTAAATATACTGTATAAGACTCGTAATATTAATTTAACGCACTAGCTGCAAATTAATTACAAAATTTTCCCAATTATTCTGCCAGTTCAATTCTTGCAGTTCATATAAAAATAAAAATACAGATGATAAAAAGGACTGAAGGAGAAAAGGAAAACCATCCCATTCCTTAGATACAACACCACATTATTTTTCTATTTGATGTTTCACATCGCTTCATAAGTCATCTTGTATACAATGAAGCTAAATAAGCACTGTGCAAATGCATAGCAAGAATGATGGAAGTCATCAAATTTGCAACAACATTGAATCATTCAAGTGCATACCATCACTTCATTCCATAAAAGTCCAAGTTAGTACCTAAAGATGCAGCATGAACCTGAATATAACTCTTTTTGGGCCGCACCTGCTGTATTGCACTGCTAAGTAGAAGTTGGGTTTGATACATAATAAATCTTAAGATAGGTCTGATGGAGAACTCTGATGTTACTGAAGCAGCAGCTATGCATTTTGTTAAACTGGTTTACATGCTATGATGAAAATTAAAACTAATGACAGCAATAAGTAGTGATTGCATATCTCAAATATATATTTATATACTGTGTATATAACTATATTCATTTATATGTTACATTTATAAAGAATGAACATTTAACTATATTAATTCTAAAAACAGATTTCAGTCTTAAAGAACACGTCAGTTATTTAGTAGAATGGTGCTTCATATAGCTTTGCAAATATGTTGCTTTGGTGCGAGTTTTGCAGTTATTGAACACCCAAAAAAAAAAATGTTGGACGTAAATAAGAGCTATGCTTGGAAATAAGCTATATACTTCCTCCTCCAGCATAATGACAAAATTGACAAATCAAGATAAGCCTGAAATTAAGTTAAACATTTACATAGATTAAATAGAGATACCAGAGCCTGGCTGTACATTTGTCAAATCTCAGAGAAAGTGGCAGACAGAATTGTCAAATAGTTTGTGCCAAGAGAAATGTGACTCTTAGATCATCATTAAGCATTTGGAAGCAATTGAAGCATGCCTCCAACTGTGGCCCTGGAAAATGCAGGGAATTGAATGTCGATCAATAACATTCAAAACCAGAAGAATATGTGCTGCCAAAAATGTATGGAGAAAATCAAACTAATAATAGCTTACAAGCATTACAAATCAATGGCAAATAGCATTAAGTAGCATCGTGCAACGCAAAGCTGATCACAAATGAGTTCATGTCATAAAACTCCAATATAATGAGCAGAACTAAAGCCACTTTGAATTAGTAGCTTCTTAAACACCTAAAAGATGTCATTTCCTTTATGACTTTAAAATGATATGATGCATGGCTCTTTGGAATATTAAATATGCGAATTTAATAATACAGTTCTAGGTGTGCAATTGGTTTTCATCTATGCACTGCACACGGTAGGACTACATAATAGAAGCATATAGTTTCAACAAGTTCAATCTGGTTGAATATTACAATAGATATCTGACACCAAAGGACTAAACAAAACGTTATTATATGGATCTTTGAAATCTGCCAAACAGGTACATAATACTTCTGCCTCAAAAAAAATTCCCATGTGGTAGAGTTGTTTTACAACACTGTTACATAAAATAGAACCAAGAAAAAATGCATGCCAGCCTGCAAATCCAGAAAGGGATGTAATACATTCATTTCTTCAGAACAATCATCTACATTATTTTATCAATAAGAATTTGAGACATTGTCATAGTTACAAAATGTCACTGTCTAGATAATCGTAGTAAATTTACAAGATGGCAAGACAAACTCAAGTTTCTTCTAACGGCGTTGAAGATCTTCTACGTGCTTGATTCAAAATTGGAACCCATTCCCGATGCAACTGATAAGGATACCGATGAAATTCGCATAGAAAGGAAGAAACGAGAAGAAGATGAATTGATATGCCGTGGGCATATTCTAAATGCATTGTCCGATCGACTATATGATCTCTACACAAACACTACTTCAGCTAAAGAAATCTGGTATGCATTAGAAAGCAAATACAAAGCCGAGAAAGAAGGTACTAAAAAGTTTTTAATATCTAAATATTTTGATTTTAAATTTTTAGACAATATACCTTTATTGCCTCAAGTACATGAGTTACAAATAATTGTGAACAAATTGAAAGTGGTAAAAATTGAAAAATTGTAAACAAGTTGAAAGTGGTAAAAATTGAACTTCCCGAAACTTTCCAAGTGGGAGCAATTATTGCTAAACTCCCTGGTTCTTGGAAAGGATATAGGAAGAAAATTCTTCACAATTTTGAAGATTTTTCTTTAAAAGACATACAGAAACATCTTCGCATTGAGGAAGAATCAAGGGCAAGAGATAAGATTGAAAATTCTTATGATGGCTCTTCGAAAGCCAATGCCGTGGACAATGTGGACAACTCCAACAAGTTCAAAAAGAAAGGAAAATTTCTTGGTCCTAGAAAGGATCAAGGAAAATTCAAAAACAAAGCCAAAGGACCGTGCTATGTTTGTGGAAAATCGGGACACTATGATAAAGATTGCAGGCATAGGAAACAACATAAGAAGGAAGGAGAAGTGAACTCTGTTGATGAAATTATTGCAACAGTGAGTGAAATCAATGCAGTCCAAGGTAAAGTTCCGGACTGGTGGTACGATACATGCGCTTCAATCCATGTATGTTATGATAAGTTACATTGAAGATAACCAAGAAATACAAATGGGAAATGAAGGAAGATCAAAGGTGATCGGTAAAGGAAATGTTGAACTCCTTTTCACTTCGGGAAAGAAGATCACTTTGACAAATGTCCTAAATGTACCGGAAATGAATAGGAACTTAGCAAGTGGTGTACTCTTGCGAAAACTCGGGATTAAATCTGTCTTTGAATCTGGAAAACTTGTATTAACCCACAGTGGGTATTTTGTTGGAAAGGGCTATTCCACTGAAGGAATGGCCAAGCTATGTACTGTTGAGGATAACTCAAATAAAATTAAATCTTTTGCGTATGTTATTGATTCATTTAATTTATGGCATGGTAGATTAGTACATATAGGAGTTAGTACTATGAAAAGAATGATTAAATGTGGATTAATATAATGTGATATTGATAACTTAGAAAAACGTGAAATATGTGTTAAATAAAAAATGATTAAGAAGTCATTTCATAGCATAGAAAAAACAACAAAATTACTTGAACTTGTTCATTTCGACATTTGTGAATTGAATGGAATATTAACTAGAGGCGGTAATAGATATTTTATTACTTTTATTGATGATTGTTCTAGGTATACTTACATATACTTACTTAAACATAAGGATAAAGCCTTTAGTGCCTTTAAAACTTACAAGAATGAAGTTGAAAATCAATTAGGAAGAAAATTAAAGAATTTAAGAAGTGATAGAGGTGGAGAGTATTTTTCAAATAAATTTAACATATTTTGTGAACAAAATGGAAGAATACATCAATCTTCTGCACCTAGAACACCGGAACAAAATGGATTAGCAGAAAGAAAGAATAGAACTTATTTGGAAATGATAAATGTTATGTTATTAAATTCTAAATTACCTTTTAACTTATGGGGTGAAGCATTACTTTGTGCTTGTCATATAACAAATAGAATTCCTATGAAAAATAATAAAACTTCCCCATATGAACTTTGGAAAGATAGAAAACCAAATATTAATTATTTTAAAGTGTGGGGGTACCTTGCGTATTATAAAAATATGGATCCAAAGAGAACCAAGTTAGGTCCTAGATGTATCAAATGTGCCTTTGTAGGATATGTCCTTAATAGCAAAGCCTATAGGTTATTAAATCTCGAATCAAATGCTATAATAGAATCAAGAGATGTGGAATTCTTTGAGAATGTGATGGTAGCTAGGAAATTTGAAAATAATAAGGATATTCCAACCTTTAAAAGCTCACCAAAAGAGACATCTATAAAAGATGTTGACTTTGAACCTCGAAGAAGCAAAAGAACAAGAAAGGAAAATAACTTAGAATCTAATGAAATAGATTCCCAACTTATTTCCTTTTACTTAGTAGAAGGAGATAGGAAGAATGTTGTAAGAACAATTCCTTTTATTCTTCAAGTGGAAAGTGATCCTAAGACTTATAAGGAAGCAATGCAATCTAGAGATTATATATTCTGGAAGGAAGCTATAAATAATGAAATGGATTCTATTATTTCAAATAACACTTGGGAAATAGTTGACCTACCAGCAGGTTCGAAAGCTATTGGTTGTAAATGGGTATTTAGAAAGAAATATAATTCTCATGGATCGCTTAATACTTATAAGGCTAGATTGGTAGCTAAAGGGTATCGTCAAAGGGAAGGAATTGATTATTTTGACACATATGCACCCGTGGCAAGGATAACCTCAATAAGGATTTTATTTGCACTAGCATCTATATATGATTTATATGTTCAATAGATGGACGTAAAAACGGCATTTTTAAATGGAGATCTCGAAGAGGAGATCTATATGGAACAACCGGAAGGGTTTGTTCTACCGGGAAATGAACATAAGGTGTGCAAATTAATTAAATCTTTATATGGATTAAATCAAGCTCCCAAAAAGTGGCATGAGAAATTTGACTCTAAAATAATGTCAAATGGATTTAATCACAATTTAGTAGATAAATGTCTCTACACAAAAGTGAATGGTGATATAATTACATTAGTGTGTCTATATGTTGATGATATGTTAATCATTAGTAACAATATAAACGGAATCAAAGAAACAAAACGATTTCTATCATCTACTTTCAAAATGAAAGATCTTGGAGAAGTAGATACTATCCTTGGAATCAAAGTAAAGAAGGATAGTGGGGGTTTTACATTAAGTCAATCACATTATGTTGATAATGTGATAAATAAATTTAAACATTTGAACATTAAAGAGGCAAATACCCCTATAGATCTAAATATAAAATTAATCAAAAACGAAGGTAGAAGAATTGCACAAATAGAATATGCAAGTGCAATTGGAAGTCTTATGTACGCATCACAATGTACAAGACCTAATGTGTCATTTGCTGTAAGTAAACTAAGTAGGTTTACTAGCAATCCAAGTTCGGAACATTGGAAAGCCATTGGTAGGGTTCTTGGTTACCTAAAGAAAACCAAAAACCTTAGGCTACAATATACCAAGTATCCTAAAATATTGGAAGGATATACCGATGCAAGTTGGATATCAAGTGCAGGAGAAAATAAATCCACATCTGGATGGATTTTCATTCTTGGAGGAAGTGCAGTTTCTTGGAAGTTCAAGAAACAAACTTGCATTACACATTCAACTATGGAATCAGAGTTTGTAGCTTTAGCTGAAACAGGGAAAGAAGCAGAGTGGCTGAAGGACTTATTATATGAAATACCTTTAGACATAAAGGATATTTCCTCCATACCTATTTTGTGTGATAGTCAAGCTACTTTAATTCGAGCATATAACGAAGTATATAATGGAAAGTCTAGACATATAAGTCTAAGACATGAATATGTAAGGAAATTAATTAAGCATGGAGTAATTTCTCTTACATTTGTTAAGTCAAGTGAAAACTTAGCTGATCCATTTACCAAACCTCTCACAAGAGAGTTAGTGAAATCAACATCAAGTAAAATGGGTTTAAAACTTCTTAAATAGATTCACCAATAACGGCAACCATACAAAAATATACTAAACCAATATATATATAAGTTCAAAGGGTAATAACAAGTTATTCGATAAGTGGATGGATTTCAACACTATTAGATATATTGAAATTATATCTTTGAAACTAGTGTTGGTTGTTACTGTTGGAGGGATGAGTTAATTAAACTCTTAATGAAGTTCAGTACGGAGTACAAGTATCTGTAAAGGTAACAAAAATACTGGAAGAATTTCACCTATGTGAACTTCGAGGTGGTGCCGCCTCATTAGAAAATTGAAGTTTTTTCTCTATAAAAGTTCAATGAAATAGGATTAGTGCAAGGCCATATTAGCACTAAACGAGTTAGAGGAACTTGTGAAAAGTTTAACACGTGTGTGTGATCTCATCGGTATAGTCACAAAGAATAACTGGTTCAAAGCACTTTGGCTACTTGGAATTCTGATAATACTTTATGAGATTTACACTTTGAATAGATTCAAATCGAAAAGATATCTAATTTTTATGCATAAGTGTTGATTATTTGATTATGTGATAGATACTGATTTGAACAAGTGGAGGATTGTTAGAATTTTAGTTGTTCAAAATTTAAAAAAAAAAAAAAAAATTGGGCTTAACCATGCGGCTGCACGGGTTAAGTCCATGCGGCCGCATGAGGCCCTCCCGAAACTGGGAGGGCCACTTGCATTATAACCATGTGACCGCATGGGCTATAATCATGCGGTCGCATGGTTATACAAAGTGACCGTTGGGGATTCGTTTTTTACCGTTTTTCTTTTGAATTTGGTGCCTTTTCAACATAATTTTGCACCATTTCGTGGGAACCATTCAAAGCCTATAAATAGGTGTTCCAATTGCAAAGAAAAACACTCTTGAGAAAATTAAGAAATTCACCACAAGATTATTCTCCCAAATTATCACATAATCAATCCTATATCTATTTTTACTTGTTCTTTGTAAAAGATACTCTTTGCTTTTGGTGTTCTTCACACAAATGCTTGATTAAATCCTACAAACTATTTGCCGGAACTCCTCAAAACCATTGGAAATGGGGCAAATAACGTTTGAGGATAGCGTTATCATTTTCGTGTTCAAACCTCTCATTATATCTATATACTTTGTTATTACCAATTTTCTTCTCTTCATCGCTTTAAATTTTCCAACAACTTATAAGCAGCTTAATTTGGAGAGAGAAAAATCCTGCAGAATAGAATTAGTGTATATGCAGATGAGCGAAGTTTATGCTGTTGTGGTATCGTCATGCAAACTCACCAAAAAGTATCGAAAGTAGGATCGTGTGGTATGACGTTACCGATTAGCCTTTAGCCCATATAATGAATACTGGAGGCAAATGCGTAAAATATGCATTCTGGACAGCACCGTGAGGCAAAGATGAGGCTTCACGTCTCGTCAAATCTCTTCAAGCATCTTCTTGAGAAATCATCAATCTAATTGACATAGTGTGTGCATTTATGAGTTCAATCACATGAAGAGCAGCTTCGGTAAGGTTGTGAGGGATAGTGACAGCTTGATATCACACCGACATAGTCGATGTTCTACTGAGAATGAACGAAACTGAGGAACTCGACTTTCCCATAACTGACGACAACATCAAAGCTGTTATTTTCGTAAGTAAATTGATATTTGAAAAGATTTGGCTTGTTTGATAACTATTTATAGCGTATTGGAATGTATTCTGACGCTTGCAGTTATTAATATTGCAGGACTTGTTTTCAGCTGGAACCGAGACCTTATAAAAAATAGTTGATTAGGCCATGGCGGAAATGGTGAGAAACCCAGATGTGATGGCAAAGACGCAAGCTGAAATAAGACATACTCTCAAGGGAAAGAAAATGATCGAAAAGGGTGATATTCACACACTGAAATATCTGAACTTTGCACCCTCCAATTCCTTTACTCCCAAAAGCATGCAGAGAAGAAATTAGAGTTGATGGATAAAGTATACCTCTAAAATCCGAAGTCCTGGAAAATATTTGGGGCATGGGAAGAGATCCAGCATTGTGGGTTGGCCCCAAAAGCTTCAAACCACGGAGATTTGAGATTAATTCCACTGATTTCATGGGAAATAACTTCAAATATCTTCTCTTTGGGGAAGGAAAAAGGATTTGTCTGGGCATGATCTCAGCAAATCTTGAGCATCCTTTAGCTCAATTTCGCTGCCACTTCGACTGGAAACTACCAAAAGGAAAGGACATTGCTGATACAGACATTACTGAGGCTGACGGAATAGCTGTATCGATGAAAAAAAGCTTTTCCTTGTACCACATCCTACACTCCTTCCATTGTAGCAAATTAATAATCCAAGAATAGTTCGGCTTAATTTAGTCAGCGTATTCATGTTGCAAATCATGAAATGAAACCCCAAGGCGTTCAAAAATGTTGATAGATAGCCCCCGTTTGAGCCCCATTATTCCTAAATTATAATGAGATGAATAATATTTTTTTGAGAAATGAGTGGTTGAAAAGTTTTTGATTTACGTGTAATATTATTTTATTGAAAATTGTGTGATTAAAAGTAGGAGAGAGAAAATTTTAATTTAATGTAATGAGGAATAATGGGGGCTCAAACGGGGGCTAAGTTCAACTTTTCTGCCATTTTATTGTCTCGAGATATTTATGGTCATACCTCCTTGCCCCCTACTTCAACACATCAATTTCTTGAGCATAAAATTCTGCTACCTGCAGTTGGGATTATGTACAATTTCTAATTTGAAACTATCATAAGGCATTTATGTTTCATTCAGAGGTATTTTTGTTATTGCCTACAAAACATATTTAATTTTCAAATGAAAATTGTTGTCTGTGCAGAAAAGGAAATGCAGAAGCATACAGTAGATAAAAGGATAAAATCGTGATTAGTGGCATTCATATACTCAAGAAAAACTTCCAATACTATGTAATATTATGACAGGATAAGACATGGGGAAAAAGGAGTTTACCCTCAAGGCAGCAAATCGTTTTATAACAATGAGGATCAAGAAAGAGATTATCTCCTATGGAACAAGAAAAAGCACATTATAAGACACAATTGTTGTGGTTTATCCATATAAGGGCCTGTTTGAGCCATAATATTCCAAAAAAAATATATTTTTAAACAGCGATTTGACATCATTTCAACTGCACATTCTTCAATAAAATAATATTACATGCTGATCAAAATTTTTTTTTTTATTTTTTAACCACACATTCCCCATCAATACACTATTCAAGAATGCATTATTACCAAAATAATGTAGCTCAAACACCCCCCTAAATCTCCAATAGTCAACCTGTAACTTTCCAATTACTAGAATATCGTAAGTTAATTATCACATGATCTCTATCAAGCATTTCATTATGCAACCAACCCCACACCTGCAACTCCCTCCCTTCTATCATCCACCACTTACGTACAATAAAAAGCACATAGGATTCGTCCTTTTTCATTAAATCTCCTCCAAGACCTCTGAGAATGTAATGACATCCAGCAATAGACCAAGGGTAAGCAACTCCTACTATGTCTCCAAAGGAAAAAGTGCACCCACATTCTCTAGAACGCATCAAATTGAATATCTTCAACCTGCATCTCATTTTTCAGTCTCCTTGACAAATCCAACAAACAACGAAGATTGGGGAGAAGCCCACTTCGAACATCTCTAAGTAAACATTAATATCCGCCTCCAAATCCATCAATGATAAATCATAAGCAAACGGGGCTAAAACCCATCTCCACCAACTTTTTCATCCGTACATTTGCCTCAGCTGTTCGACCAAATTTGCACAAGCCACGGATGAGAATGTTGAATGTGAAATCAGTAGGGGATATACCTAAGCTCATCATATGGTCAAACATTCCAAGTGCTTTTTCACTCTCACTTCCGTTGAAATATCCCTGAATCAAAATACTATATGTGACAACATTCACTTTGAAGTTCTTTTGTAACATTTCAGAAACAAAATCTATTGCTGCCTCCATATTCCCTTTTCTACAGTTTCCCAGAATCATATTGTTATAAACATTAGCAGTTGGCTCAACTCCTTTATCAATCATCTTGTCCCAGACTGTGTATGCTTTGTCCATCATACCCTCTTTACAGAACCAGGATATGAAATTAGCATAAGTATATACATTTGCAATGCCAGCCTCAACAGCCACATCAAAAAATTTGGTTGCATCCTCCATCAATCGAGCTTCCAAGAACCCTTTAATTAAAGAATTTACAACACAGACGGATGTTGGAATACCTGCCTGTTTCATTTCCTTATGTATCTCCTGCACCCTCTCCATATCTCCACTTCTACAGCAACCTTCTAAGATGACCGAATAAGTGACCTCGTTTGGAGTAAGTTCATCTTTAATCATATTGAACAATTCTAAGGCGCAGTTCAAATCACCATGCATATAGCACCCTTTCATCAAATTATTAGCAACCCTCAAATTCATCGGATGCCCACTTCTAATCATCTCATCCTTAAGCTTTATGGCATCGACTATATTCCTTTGCTTCACACAAGTACAGATCACACGAGTAAATGAATTCCCTGACACAACCAACCCTTTTTCCTTCATCTCCTTTAACAAGAAACAAGCTAGGTTATCGTCCAGTTTCCTACAAGCAGCCTCAACAGCTGTTCTGTAGATAGATGCGTCAAGCTTAATTTCACTACCCCTCGCCTCCATGAAATACTTCTGAGCCTCCTCTACCTGACCTAGTTTCAAACACGCATGCATCATCAAATGGACAGTTGCACAATCATAACTCTCTGGTCTTAAAACCACACATCTAAACAAATCATGCGCCTGGCCAATCATATTTTGCTCAACCAATGCACTCAACAAATTTTTCGTATATGGGATCCACGGCATTATACCACAAATAACCATTGTTCTGAAACAACCTATAGCATCCCTATGCCTATGCCCGTTAATATAAACATTCAATAAGTAATTAAATACCCGTGGATTTAACTCAAAACCAAATCTTTTTGAGCAATTAACAATGCGACGAACAATAACAGCAGCAGAGAGTACTGAATCGCTGCAAACGTAGTGATTAAGCAAATTCTTAGCCTCGAGGAGATGTTCAGGAGACTTTACCAAAATGTGCAGCAAGACTCCCAAAGGGTCAGCGGACCCGGATGCAAAACCGCGATTTTTCTCGGCCCACTTGTAGTACTCGAGGGCAGAAACTGGGTCATCATTCCGGTCTAAAAGGGTTCTTATGACAATGGCCTGTGTTAAAACTCTGTTTTCCGATATGGGTTTTTTGAAAGTTTGGATCTTGACAGAGTTTTGGGTGATCTTGACAGAGTTTTGGGTGTCTGAGGGGAATAGTTCGGAAATTTTATAAAGGGAAGTGGAAGAAGAAGATGATGAATTAGATTTGCGAAGGATGAGAGAAAACAGTAATCTTGGAGGAAGTGTTGAAGAAGTTAGGAACTTCATTTTACTTGGATTTCGGTAATAGAAAACCCTATAAACCCTTATTCAAGGTTTCAATCAAGAAAATTTGCTATAAACATGGGAAATTGGCAGTCCCTAACCTATGGGGTTATTGTGCAAATGGTTCCTAATCTTCAAGTCTTAACACAAAATCCCTTACATTTCACTTAATTGGTGAAATTGGTCCTTTTGTATTCCTTAAATAATAAATAGTAAAGCTACTTTGACATTCATTTTGGATTTCATAGTTGACGTTCCATGATGTGTAAAAAATCTGATCATTCATTTCAATAAGGGTTCGTTTGATTGCAAAGGTGAAATTTGGATGAAAAGAAAACGAATTCTATGAAATTGAATTGATGGAAAATTGCTTTTTTGAGAATTGTAAATTATTGTGTTTGATTGGTATAATTTTTCATGTATAAATGTTTAAATTAAAGTATTTTTTTATGTCTGTTTGACTTTGTTTTACATGAAAATTGTCAATTAAAGGAATAGAATTTACTGGTATTGGGAATGAAATTTATTTTCATTGTCAAAACAAAAAAAAAATTCAAGAAAATTATCTATTTTTGGGTATTCGTTTGACTTTGTTTTACATTAAAATTGTTAACTAAAAGGAAATATTTTTTACAATAAATCTAAGAATTTGTTTCCATTACAAAAAAAAAAAAAAAAAAAAAAAAAAAAAAAAAAAAAATTTTTTTTTAAAAAAATTAAAAATTTTTTTTCAATAAAAAAAAAAAAAAAAAAAAAAAAAAAAAGCTACAGTAACATGGAATTCCAATTCCGATTTTCCTTAAAAACCACGAAAAGATCAATTCTCGAGACAAGCAAGAAAAGACATTTCTATTGAAATAAAACCCTATCAAACACCATAAAGTTGGAAATATAATTCTTTTTCCATTTTTTATGTAAAATTTTGGTGTATCAAACACACCCTAAGTGCTTTTCCAATAAGTGGCCAAACTACTTGTCACATCTTAAAATGTCAACAAAACAGTCAGTATAGCAAAACTCATAATAAAAACACAAATAATAAGAAATCATCATAAGTTTGAAGTCTAATATTCTGAAAATCCTGGAAAAGTTTGTCCAATTCACTTTTCAATGAATTCACTCAGTCGAATAATTTTATATGCAGGTGAACTTAATGAGTCACGAGTTCATTGGTGAATCTAAATATATGAACCCACGAAATTACAAATTCCCTTCTAAGTCTGAACATATAGACCCAATGGGTCAAGAGTTCAATAGTGTGAAATTGTACAACTCTTGTTCCATAAAGAGTTTTTTTTTTTTGGCCCCATCTTGCACAAGAAAACTTCTACAATGTGTTACCTAATTCATAAACAAGAATCTCCGAAAAAGATAATAGAACTTCCATAATAATAATTAGTAGAGAACTAAATAAGAAATTCAAATAATATCAAATCAAATCTCTTCTTATCTAGAAATAAGATCACTTCGTCTCCGAGCATAAAAATGATTTGATAATAATGTATTTAGCACAATTCCTTACACCAAAATTTGTGTCTAGCAGTATAGGTATTCATATGAAAAGTTATATAGTCAAAATAAATTTCTTAAGTCAAATTGGTTGTAACAAATGTATGAACCATTAAACTCGGCGTGAACTTACAGACTTAACCAGTGCAGCATATGAAATTTTCTTAAATTTCTCTAAATTACTTACTAAAAAAACTCGAATTTGTTTAATTAATAAATTAATGAAAAAACAGTTTTAAAACATAATTTGCCAACACAGTGGAACGATAACAGAATCTTGACGAGCAACCTTTTTTTTTTTTTTTTTTTATCTGCACTCCCATTGAATTATGGGAACTCAAAAGAGAGATTGAAAATATAAATAGAAATGAAAAAGTTCACCCTTTCTTAAAAGATTATATCTTTAAATGAGGTATAATTAAATTTAAAATCAGAGCGTCTCGCTACTACTTAATCATAAATTTGTCTTGTGTAAATGAGTTCACTATGATGGAAATTCAGCAAGAGCAACTGATGGAAATTAGAGCAGTGTTTTATTTCTCTGTAAAAATGACAGACTTTACAACCTGCATTTTACAATGACTTGCGTACATTTAAACACAAAATCTCCGATCTCTATTCTAGGAAATTAGCCAACATTCTGCATATATAAAAGTAGCAGGCTAATTTCATGGTTATACAAAAATAACATTTACAGAAAATTGATTGACTGTTACAGACATGATTATTGGCTATCTTGCTGGTTTTGATTCTTGGCTTGATTTGTGGTGGCTGATTTTTGCTCCTTGGCTTGATTAGTGGAATCTTCCTTCATACGCCCCGCAAGATTGGGCTGCCATTGGCAAGACCAATCTTGTTTCTCAGTTGTTCCGTACGTTGCTTTGACAGTGGTTTTGTTAGAATATCTACAAGCTGGTCCTGTGTATTTACATGATGAACTTGGAGTGTTCCTTTCTGAACTATATTGCGCACAAAGTGTAGATCAATTTGAATGTGCTTCATTCGAGAGTGGTGGATTGGATTGAAACTCAGTTGTGTGGCACCCAAGTTATCACAAAGTAGCTTTGGTGTGGATGATATAGGGTGGCCAAGTTCTTGAAATAACTGAAGGAGCCAAATGGTTTCTGAGGCCGCATTTGCAAGGGCTCTGTACTCAGCCTTGGTTGATGATCGAGCAACTGTCCTTTGTTTTTTCGAGCTCCAAGAAATTGGATTTGTGCCAAGGAAACATATATAAGCAGAGGTTGAAGTTTTATCATCAAAGTTTCCTGCCCAATCTGCATCACTGTATGTGGTAAGAGTTGACGGACTGAATTTTCTGATATAAATTCCATGAAAAATTGGTAGTTTCAAGTAATGAAGGAGCCTCTTAGCAGCCGTCCAATGAGTTGCAGTGGGTTTATGCATAAACTGAGAGAGTTTATTCACCACAAATGAAATGTCTGGCCTTGTAAGAGATAGATATTGAAGAGCACCGATAACACTCCTAAATTCTGTGTTGTCAACGGAGCTGGTTCCATCAATAAGTTTGAGGGATGTAGTGGTTGATAATGGTGTGGATGCATCTTTTGCACTGAGCATATTACTTTTGGACAGGATATCTCTAATGTATTTATGATGAGACAAGAGGAGACCAGATTTAGTAGGTATAACTTCCATCCCCAGGAAAAAATTTAGCTATCCCATATCTTTCAAAGAGAAACAATGTCCAAGTTTTGTGATTACTGAAGCAACAAATTGAGTATCACTGCCAGTTAGGACTAATTAATCCACATATACCAGCAGAAAACATGTAACCGAGCTGGTTCTGTATATAAATAATGAAGAATCTGCTTTAGAATTCATAAACCCAAGCTCTGTAATGGTTTTCTTGAGGGCCAAATACCAAGCTCTAGGTGCTTGTTTTAGGCCATAGATGGCCTTTTGTAACTTGCAGACATGGTTAGGCTTGGATGTATCCTTGAACCCCGGAGGTTGAACCATGTAAACTTTTTCAGTCAACATCGCATGTAAGAATGCATTGTCGACATCAAGTTGTCTTAAAATCCACCCTTGCATAACAACAATAGTCAAGACAGTTCTTATTGTTACCAGCTTTACAATCGGACTAAATGTCTCTTTATAATCTAAGCCAGGGCGTTGGTTGTACCCTTTGGCCACAAGTCTTGCTTTAAAGCGATCAATAGACCCATCAGCTTTCCTCTTAACTCAAAATATCCATTTATAGCCTACTGGTTTATAGTGTGTAGGAGGAGGAGCTAAGTCCCACGTGTAAGTATTATGCCCTAGGTCCAATCAACTTTGAACATAAATACTTTTGATATATAATTAATGCAATTTAATGACAGATCTATTATTTAATTAATAGACAATTAAGTAAATAATAGAATCCGTAGATTCAAATCTTCGTAATTTGTTAATCACAAGGAGTTGTGATTGTGAGATACAAATTACATCTGATTGAATCTTAAATCGTTCATGGTCGTAAGTAATAACGAGATATGGATATCATTATTACAGATAGACCATCACGTGTGGCATTTCTTACTTGTGAAGTAAGTAGCTGATCTCACAAGCTAAAATGTGGTGACACTTAAATGACCACATGGATGTTATGTTATAGAACAAAATATTGGAGACTCGCCGAGAGATTCCACATGAATAACTATCTGAGTGTCAGTGGTTAATTTCTAATGTTCGGTAGTGGAATTGGTCCTTTGACTTGAGGTCTTCATGGTACCTTATATGAGGACAGTCATACTTTAGCGATGTTGGATGTTGCTCTGCAAATGGCCGCTAATACGACATCGTTCGGGTACGTCAAGAATCGTATGAAGGTTGTGATTGATCAATAAAGGATTCGTCCCTCTTAGATAGTAGGAGATTATGATCTGCGTTTCATTCAATTAAGTCGATGATGAAATCCTTGGCCAAGGTGTACTCATAAGTCGAAAAAGAGTTTTCGACTTATATTGACTTAATAGTGGAGTGAAAGATATGATCGTTAATCGAGATTGACACACTTCCATATCTCGTAATTAATCGGATCATATTGACGAAGGGATTATAGTTTCACGGTAAATGAACGAGTTTGGTTTTGTCATACCACGTGACATTTCTCGTCACATATATTGCTCTGACACATTGCTAGATGTCAATATGGGACGGCGAGTGTGAATTGATGATAAATTAAAAGGGTGTTTTAATTTATCAATTTTAATTAGATCAAAATAATATTTCACGTCATTAGGCATGCTGATCGGGAACCTGATGGGTGGCACATAAAAGAGAATTGGAAGATTTTAATTTGTCAATTAATTAATTTAACAATCGTTGGATAAATTAATTAATTGGGTTGGTTATTTAGAGGCCCGTTTGGGCTTATATAAATACATGGCTAGAGTTTTCAATTCATATGATTTTTCTCATAATTATTCTTGCTAGCACAAGAGGAGAAAATCCTGGTAGCTGCAATCTTGTTCTCTGTGTGGATC